TATATATATATATATATATATATATATATATATATATATATATATATATATATAATTTACAAGAAATTGTCTTAGCTAAAAAAATTTAAAAAAAATAGGCCAGGCCCACTTAGGTCCACATAGGCCCGGACCGGCCCACTTAGCCCGGGACCATTAGTTCGTGGTCCCGATCCCGGTCCGGTTCCTACCAAAAGCCCACGAAGCCCGGGACCGTTTAAGCCCGGGCCCACATAGGATCGGCCCACTTAGGACCTGCCCACGAGGCCCGTTTAGGCCCGGCCCACCAGTCAGCCTTAGGGTGAGGGTTGGAGTGGGTGGGTGGTGCAGAAAAACAAAAAAATAAAAAATTGAAAATTGAAAATATATAAAAAAAAAGTAAAAAAAACATTATTGAGGGGGTTTGCGTGGAGGGGGGGGGTGTGGTTAGGATGTAGGGTGGTGCAGAAAAAAAAAAAAAATTAAAAATTAAAAATACAAAAAAAAATATAAATTTTTTTTAGGGGGTTTGTGCGGGGGTGGGGGTGGGGTGGGGTAGTGTGGGTGGGTGGTGCAGGAAAACTAAATCAGAAAATTGAAAATTAAAAAAAAAATTGAGGGGCTTTTGCGCCGGGAGGGAGGGGGTAGGGTGGATGGATGGTGTAGAAAAACAGAAAATTAAAAATACAAAAAAAAAGTAAAAAAGAAATTGAAGGGGTTTGTGAGGGGAGGGGATAGGGGTAGGGTGGGTGGGTGGTGCAAAAAATAAAAGAACAGAAAATTGAAAAAAAAAAAAGAAGTAAAATTGGGGCAACTAAGTAAGCTAGATAAGTTGGGTTGAGATTCCTTTGTTTTGGGTGAGTTTCATGAGTTGTATTTAGGCTGCTTAATGGGTCAGAATGAGTTATAAAAACTAATTGATAAAAGCTAGATATGATTTGGATAAAAGTTTCTTGTTTCTCCGTTCTATTTCTTTTTCTTTTTCATTCGAGGAGCTGTAGTACATCAGACATGCATATGTAGTTTGTTGATTTTCTCGATCGATCAATACTTCAAGAGATATAAAATAGTAATATTTACAATGGAAATTTTTTCTTCAAGAGAAATTTTGACATAGTTTTGTGCAAGATGTATTTGATATCAGAGCTGGTAAAATAGTTGGGTCTGGGATTGGTAAGATTTATAATTCTGCCACTTTTTCTTAGTAAGTAAGAAATTCAAAACTTTGTTGTGGTACTAACGTATGGAAACACATTCTAAAGCTTTAGGGTACAAGTACCATTGGTATCAAATGAAGCTTAAAATATTCCAGGAGAAAAAGTTTGATTGCTAGCAAATCATCAGAGCATATAGACGGCAATAGAAGATCAGAACCAGAGATCTGAAACTGAGAGTAACATTTCCATTTGAAATAAAATTCTATCACATTGTACATAAAATATAACTTTCCCTCTTCATTTGTGTTGTCTATAAAGAATTCTACCCAAACATAAGACTAGTAACAGTATCAGAATAACATTAAATTAGCTTCTTCTTTTCGAAAAAGGTTTTCAAATGCCACAACTGCAACCCTGCCACAGATAAGCATATAAAGATTGACAGGCCAGTCATCCAAGCCATTTTGGAGTTGGTTGATCTGTTAAGTTCTTGCATTTCTTCCTCCCTGTAACATGTGGAAATATTTCAAAATCCATTTCATTAGCTTAGATTCATGAGGATAGGATCGGTAACAAGAAAAAGGTTAACTCACCTTTCGCGGAGATAAAACATCTCATCATGGATGCTTTGAACATGTTCGTACATCTTCTTCAATTCTAATTCCATTAGCTGGCAAGAGGACAGATGAAAGAGCATTACAAATCTAGCGGTCAGTGGAATCTGAAGCAGCAGTATAACAAGTTGACATTCTTTTTTCAGGCATGAGTGCAAGGTAATTAATCATTCAATGAGATATGTGAGCATATCGGCCTAAGAAAATGGAATAAAGCATGGAGGGAGGGACTACTTGGTATGAGTTCAAGATCTGGAAATCTAAGTTGCTCAGACACGAGTGCGGATCTAGAGGCCGGATCCTTTGAGATGTAAATTCTAAGATTCGAGGATAAGGATCCTAGTATGGATACGGGTGCTAAAAATAATTCAAAAAGCAATATATAAAAATATCTCTAAATTATGAGAAATTTTGTGGAATACTTACATATAGCTTGTAAAGTGTGGATTTCTTTTTTATTCTCAAGGTTGTAGATAAGTAAATGACTGATTTCCTAGATAAGGTATGCTATTTTCTTCAAATTTACCCTAGTTTTGGTTCTGATTACCGGAATCAAATTGTATCTCCATCCGTCGTGGTCAAAGTACCAAAATTGTTTGACCAGATCCGGTACAGATCCCATACCTACACCCATACTAGTGTCGTGTCGACACGGGTGCGACACCTAAACTGCCGTGTCGTGTCGAAGCAACTTAGCTGCAAATCAGATGTCACTTCCTTGTTAAGAATATGTGGTTGTTAGAACAGGAAAGGAATAGATGAAGTGCAGTATATTCTGCTTTAATTCAATTATTCAACTAAAATTCATAACTTGTATAATTCACCTCAAACCCCCCCCCTACCCCCCCCCCCCCTAAAAAAAAAAAAAAACCTTCACATTGAAAGCAGTTCAATATCAAGAAGAGACTACACCCTTTTACAACAGGCCCCCCAAACTTTGATTCCTTGCCTATCGGTGAAAAATGAAAGCCACTAAATTCTGCAATCGAATCATTTCTTTGTTTTTCCTTCTTCTAAGAAAATCAAGATAATGGTCAGCCTGATCTAGAAGCTGCAGTCTTTGAGGCTGTTTAAGTGCAATTAGATGCTTCATTAAACCAAACTGCTGATCAGAAGTTGATGAACATTTAGAAGTTATTCAATAAATGGTCAGTTTTGTATTGTTAAAGTGAAAGGCTCTAGGAGTTAAAAACTCAAAAGGAGTCATGGAGACAGAGAAAATCAAACGTTACGGGAACACACAGGTCAATATGTGTGAACTGCCAGTGCGACTCAAGACAAATAGATTGTCGCAACCATATACGTGATAAATGAGACAAGTAAGCATGTAGATCAAAGGAAAAAGAAGGCTTACTTCAACAGAACCTTTCTTAGCTACACTGGTCCAGTCCTTAGCAGCTACACCAGACTTCCAATCAAAATCGAGAGTCAGAGTAATAGGGGGCTTATGGTCAGCAGCATAGAAGCAAGCCATATAATCTCCAGCTTCCGTAGTCTCAAAAGCAAAATGCCCCTCAGGAACATTGTCCGAATAGTGATAGGTATTCCCGTATGTAGATGTCACCTAAATCACATAAACCAGATAAAAGTTCATTTATTTAACCAAATGAAACTGATTAATCTGATCAAAGTAACACATGATACACAAAAAAGCTCGTCTTCTGCACGAAACCGGAGCATAACTTTTAGTTTTTGAACCTATGGAAATCCCTTTTCTCAAAAAAGAAACCTCTGAAACTTCTAGATCACACATACCCTTATTACTCGTGTGTCCCAACACCTTTAAAGAAAACCAAGCTCTAATTAAAATTCATAATTTTTGGTTGATCCGGACAAAATGCAAAAGAATGAAACAGATTTTCACTAACCGAAAAATCAACTTCAAGGTTAAGAAGCTAACTACACCTCTTTTAGTTTTGCATCCTACATTAGCTCACATACGAATTCCAATTCCGATAAAGGAGGTGGCTAAGGTTGATATCATCTTAAAACTAGTCAATTACTGAGAATATTTTACATGCTCTCTTAGACACATACTACATCAACACAATTAGAATGAAACAAAACCAAAAGGGGCAAACACTATAATCCCTCGTTTAAGTTTATATGAACCTATTTGACTGGGCACAAAGTTTAAGAAAAAAATAGGAATATTTTTGAAACTTGTGGTTGTAAATATGTTTGTGTCTATAAATCTTTAGAAACTTGTGGTGTATAACATATCATATCATATCATTTGTGTGACCGTGAAAGCTTCTCATTAACAGTAATATAGGAACTCTAAAATTAAGAGTTTCCTTGTTAGGAATGGGTTCATTTTCATTTTTTTTGAAACTGACTAAAAAGTAAATAGATTCGCATAAATTGAAATGGAATAAGTACAATTAACATATTCAAATAGCCGATCCCAATTAGTTTGTAGAAGGTTTCTGGTGTCTAGTATGCAACCAAGAGACACTGGAAATAGATAGGTTACTGAAACATCCAAAAAGCTCATAACTTTACCATACAAAGATCAAATTAAATAGACCCAATTGATTCAAATCAAAAATCAGAGCCGAAAATGAAAATTACCCTGACGGTAACTTTGTGAGAGTCAGGTAAAGGATGGCCATCATTGGGATTGACAATATGGTACTTGCCAACAGTCATGGAATGACTCTTTATGTCTTCTGCTATGCATTTTGTGTGACCCGATAATACTTCGAATTGCACTGACTGTATTTGCGTCGCAAATAACATCAAGATTAGAATTATTGGCATCGTGGGAATCATTATTAAGAGCAAAATTGGGAATAATAATTGATAGATATTTTGTTTTGGGGTATGATTACGAAAACAAGAAAGAGAGAGGGATGATGATGATGATGATGATAATGATAATGATGGCGTAGATGTTAACAGGAACAAGACTTTTTGATTTGATTGAGAGTAGGAAGGTTTGATTCGGTAATGAATCCCATGGGGTTTTTTTCTTTTGTACTACGAGTCTACAACTACTTTTTTGGAAGCTTTTCTTCTTATTTTACGGAGTATTTTATTTATTTTTCCTTGTTTCTTTAGCAATTTGGTTCATATATGGGGGATTATAATATATATCGGGAATTAATAATAAAGGGATTATTAATATAATTAATAATAGGTAGATTATTATACATGAATTACTTGATATTTTTATCTTTAAGTAGTTTAATCCCGACATTGCTAATACACATATTATTATTCTATATTACAGTCAGACCTCTCTATAACTGTTTGGATGATATAGCAAAGTGCTGTTATACAGAACATATATTATAACATAACATGAAAATTAATTCCGGAAAAGGTTGACTTTTATAGTGAGGTGTTGTTATATAGGGATGATGTTATAGAGATGTCTAATTGTATATCACTTCCAAAATAATACATAAAATTAACACATAACATAATGCATGTACTCCCGCAAACCAAACCCTACATTAGGTCAAAATTATTCCACTTCCTTCTCTGTTAAAGTTAAAGGCATTGGTATAATAAAATTGTGATGCGTGCTCTCTTTAATATGTTGATGCGCTCGTTAGGAGGTGTCATCCAGTATCCATCAATTAGTAGGGACAACATTGGCAACAAAACAAATTGAGATGAATGGGCAAGAAACCATTGCCAGAGGAGAAATAAGCAGCAAGAAATACAAATGCTAAGGTCTACAGAATAACTATGGCTGAGGAAAAATGAAAGGGAACACCGCTAGTAAACCGTATTTGTAAACTAATTCTAGGAAAGATAGAATAATATATAAACAGAAAATGTAAACCAATAAAAGTTAATCCGAGCCCACTGAATTCACAGTGTTTCTTTAAGAAATTTAATCCCCTCCTAGTACCCAAAGTTATGGATTATTTCCTCCCAGGATAGAACGAATTACACACTAGTGTAGTGGTACTTCAACCCCAGTGTTTCAACGAACAAAAAGTTCGATAGCAAATCAAACTTACTGTTGTTTTCTTTGAAGTTAAAAGCATGCAGAAGAAAGGAGGATAACTCAGAAAATCGTATGGAAATTCTAAGAGAATGGACTTGTATTTATAGCCAATGTTGGGCTGAAAACTGAAGAGGTGCAACTCTTCAGAATGGCTGTTTATGCAAAATGGCCATAGCATAAATGCCATAACATAAATGGCTAATTTATGCAATAATAAACCGGGAATGGAAGAGGGAGGTTAATTTTCAGTTACACAACCGAAAAATTGAAACGGATAACGGAAAAACGTTTAATATTCCGTTGGATTTAATATTAATATAATATTAATATTAATATTCTGTTATTAAAATAGATATTTAATAACATTTCAGTTAATATTTACTATTAACAAATAAATTTGGTCCAAAAAATTAATCAATCAAACGATCATTTGACCAAATCCAAAATTCAAATCCAAATCCGAAGCCGAAGCCGAAGCCGAGTGAGCGACGACGACGACGGCGCAAGGCTTGTCTTCTTCTCAACTCCTTAAGAGCTAGAAGAAGAGCAATTGCTTATATGCCCATCAAAAACCTCTTCCTCTTCCAATATGAGACAATGTCCCTTTGTCGGGGGGGGGGGGGGGGGGTACTTAATATTTCATTTAAAAATTTTATTTCCCTCAATTTCCCATTCACCCTCTTTTAAGCCATATTAATGCTTAAAACCCCAACAGTCTCCCACATGAATGGGGAATGACTATATCATGGAAATATGCATGAAAAACTGTGTGATTCACAAGCAAGGATTAATTGCACCTGGATAAGTAGGTTTCCCTTTGAACTTTCCGTAGTGAACTTATGTCGGATATACTCGGTCAATCGGTAGATTTGATATCTTTGAATCGTTGAACTTTGGTGTATACCTAGACAACCATAAGTCACACAACCAACCCTTAACCGTCTTTAGTTCTCATTGTTGTGTTCGTTTCAGCCATGAACACCGCCTGGTTTCATAAGTGCGTAGATAATTGACCTTACAAAATTCTCCTTGAAGCGGCTAACACTTCACACTTACATAGGTGATTCCTAAATGTGTCATCCCGTAGATGCACTATTTGATATACCCTGTATCAAATTTAGAAATCATTAAAAAGCCATAATACTTTATCTTTGGTACTGAACATTGTCTCATCACGAGAATGGACCAAAATTTTAGTTGACAATGTTGAACCGTCATTAATGACTTTGTTTGATCTCCTTGAACCTAGATCTTGGGATCTCCAGTCTTCTAGGTAGAGTTACCGCCACAATGACTTGTTCTCGGCCATAGTCCCATTCCTCTTGATGATTTCCCAACTACCTCTCTAGTTAGGCCTTTTGTAAGTGGATCCGACACATTATCACTTGACTTTACATAGTCAATCGCGATAATTCCTCTAGAGAGTATTTGCCGAACGGTTTTATGTCTTCATCATATATGACGAGATTTACCATTATACATAACGCTCCCAGCCTTTTCAATTGTCGCTTGACTATCATAATGTATGCATATTGGTACCAACGGTTTGGGCCAAAATGGATTGTCTTCCAAAAAATTCCGGAGCCATTCAGCTTCTTCACCGGTTTTATCTAAGGCTATGAATTCAGCCTCCATTGTAGAGTGGGCAATACAAGTTTGTTTAGATGACTTTCAAGATACCGCTCTCCACCAATAGTTAATACATATCCACTTGTGGACTTCGAATCAGCTGAACCGGTGATCCAATTTGCATTACAGTATCCCTCATTCACCGCATGATATTTACTGTAGTGCAAAGCAAAGCCCTGGGTATGTTCTAAATATCCCAAAACTAGTTTCATTGCCATCCAACGAGATTGACCTGGATTACTCGTGTATCGACTTAATTTACTTATAGCACAAGCTATATCTGGTCGTGTACAATTCATGATGTATATTAAGCATCCCAACACACGAGCATAATCCAATTGTGATATGCTTTGGCCTTTGTTCTTTGCTAATGCAAGATTCACGTCAATTGGAGTCTTTGCAACTTTAAACCCTAAGTGCTTGAATTTTTCAAGTACCGTCTTAATATAATGAGATTGTGACAATGCCAGACCTTGAGGAGTCTTATGGATCTTAATCTCCAGAATTAAATCAGCAATTTAAAAGTCCTTCATATCAAACTTGCTAGTTAGCATACGCTTAGTAGCATTTATGTTGGCAATGTCATTACTCATTATCAGCATATCGTCCACATATAAGCAAACGATAACCATGTGATTTGGAACATTTTGAATGTACACACATTTATCACATTCATTTATCTTGAAATCATTTGACAACATTATTTGGTCAAATTTCGCATGCCATTGTTTGGGTGCTTGTTTTAGTCCGTAAAGGGACTTAACAAGTCTACATACCTTCTTTTCTTTACCTAGAACCACAAACCCTTCAGGTTGTTTGTCATGACCAGGAATTCTCACCCTCGGGAGTCGTGATGGCGCCTACTCGTAGAATCTAGGCAAGCCACACATTTAGAATCCATAAATACTTTGCTTTAAAATCCATTTTTTTAACAGTTTAATTAACAGGAAATAAATATGTAACAACAGCGGAATTCGTAACTTAGCGGAAGACTTAAACGAAATAAACCAAAATAATAAGGAAAAATCCACATATGCCTCTACCCAGAACTGGTGTCACAACATTCACGGACTATCTAAGAGTGCTACATACAACTATCTGAAACAAGGAATAAAGTCTGTGTGGGATACAAAAGGAAATAGTGCATCAGAATAGATAGAAGAGATGTCGGGCCTGCGGACGCCTGCAGGACTACCTCGGGATCTCGTGGACTGAAGGCTGGCTCCCGAACTACTGATGCGCACCGTATGCTTCTCCGGTACCTGGATCTGTGCAAAATAGCACAGAGTGTAGTATCAGCACAACCGACCCCATATGCTGGTAAGTGCCTAGCCTAACCCCGGCGAGGTAGTGACGAGGCTAGGACCAGACTTCAGATAAACCTATGCGGATATATATAATATTTTGCAGAAAAATAAACAAGTAATGAGCAGTTAAAAGGGAGGGGGTACATGCCTCGGGGAAACAGTTCAACTTAGCAGAAACTAAATAAGTATGAAAGCACAGTACAATATCTAAAACAATATGATAACACTACTGTTGCGGCGCGCAACCCGATCCATATATATATATATATATATATATATATATAAACATATATATATATATATATATATATATATATATATATATNGGGATTAACCATAAAATATTCTATCCCGGCAAGGGAACTCAACAGTACAAGTATATTCGTCCCGGCAAGGGAGAACCAGTTATAACCAATCTTAGTTCAACTTCTAATCATCTCCATTTTCACCATTTCTAACTCATAAATAACTTCTACGAAAATAAGCTAAGCCTTTGCTCAATACCACGGATCTACTCACTATTGCAATCTTAATATTATTTAAGAATACAACAAATATCAATTTAAGACTCACGGTCATGCTCGACACCGACGTATAGATACTCGTCGCCATGCCTATACGTCGTACTCCACAAGAAAAAACATAGCAAATATGACTCAACTCCTAATCCCTCAAGCTAAGGTTAGACCAAACACTTACCTCGATGCCCTGAACACAACTCAAGCCTCAATTATAGCTTTACCCCTTGATTCCACCGCCAATTCGCTCGTATCTAATCACAAATTACTTAATTACATTAATAAACACTAAATGAATCAACCCCAATGCATGAAAATGAGTTTTCCAAAGTTTTACCCAAAAAGTCAAAAATCGCCCCCGGTCCCACGTGGTCAAAACCCGAGGTTCGAACAAAACCCGATTACCCATTCCCCCACGAACTCAAATACATAATTTGTTTTGAAATCGGACCTCAAATTGAGGTCCACATCCCCAATTTTTGAAAAACCTAGGTTCTACCCAAAACACCCAATTTCCCCCATGAAAATCTTTGATTTTAGGTTGAAATCATGTTAAAAGATGTTAATGATTGAAAGAAATGAGTAAAAACTA